ATAAACATTAAATGTTTTCGTTAACTCCTGTAAGTGATTGGGACACTTAATTATTTTATAATACTTTTAACGGCTCTGGGTTCATGCTTTATTGAATAATTATTTATTTTAATTTTATATATTTTTTTTAATTTTAAAAATAATTTTTATATTTGTTTCTACTATAATGTTGGCACCACCAGTACAACTTTGATAGCTTATTTTATATCTTTATTTTCGTAACTCAAGCGAAATATTTTATATTGAAATATTTTATTTTCTTAAATGGGGAGCATTCTTAAGCGATTTTTTAATCTATTTTAACAGTTATTTTCTTTAATGTTTGCTTATGGCATTTTCGGTTTTAGGTTTCGAATATGGCACTTATTTCTAATTCCAAGATGGCGGGCGCGATTTTTCGCATAATGGCAAGTTGGGTATCGTTTTCGAGATGTTTGGGAATGTTCAATACAAATATGGCATTCATTTCTAAATCCAAGATGGCAAACACGACAGTTCAAACAAAAGCAATATTCGTAATGAGCACCCCCAAATACCTCGAAAACGGTACCCAACTTGCCATTATTTGAAAAATCGTGCCCGCCATCTTGGATTTACAAATAGTGCCATATTCACATTGAGCATCCCCAAATACCTCGAAAATGATACCCACATAGCATTTTTTTGAAAAAATCGTGCCCGCCATGTTGGATTTAGAAATGAGTGCCATATTCGCAATGAGCACCCCCAAGTACCTCGAAAATGATACTCATATTGCATTTATTTGAAAACTCGTGTCCGCCATCTTGGATTTAGAAATGAGTGCCATATTCGTAATGAGCATCCCCAAATACCTCGAAAAAATACCCATACAGCATATTTTGAAAAATCGTGTCCGCCATCTTGGATTTACAAATAAGTGCTATATTCGTTTTTCATCGACAAAACCGAGCATATCTGCAGGCACCTGATCGACAATGTCGGGCAAATCTGTAGGCACCTTTAACTTAATGATGAGTTAAGCAAGATACAATTTCCCCACTTTTGAGGGAAATGTTATTCCATGGCATCATTATTTGTATATTTGTGTGCGTGCCGACGAGCGTAGTTACAAGTTGCTTACGCCTACATGAATTTGGTTTTTGCCTCACTTGTGACAGTTCGTTTGATATGAAACTATCATTCTATGCGTTATTATTCTAAGTATAAAAGTATAAATTATTCGATGCTCCTATCGCGCATATTTATCTAATTTAAGGAAACTCATTTCGATATAAACTTGCAACACATACTAATTAGTTTATGTCGAGATTTTGTTCCGAGTGAAACTCAAAAAATATCGGGTAAATAAATTACAAAATAGTTAAATTATAGTTCCCTGTGAAACGACATTACATCTTTTTTTTTGTTTTTGGGAACAACTTTTACAACGTATAAAAACACAAAACGGCATTTTTAACCGACTTCAAAAAAGGAGGTTCTCAATTCGACTGTATGTTCTTTTTTTTGTATGTATGTTACGCGATAACTCCGGTATTTGTGAACCGATTTTCATGATTCTTTTTTTGTTGGAAAGGGGGTACTTCCATAGTGGTCCCATTTAGTTTTGAAAAAAAACATTCACCTTTAAGGGTAGCTGTTCACGCATGAGATTCATTTTTTATAAATAACGCCTAACTTTTTATTCTAATTTAGGAGTAATTATTTTAATGGTTGATTTTGCTATATTTCCAATTCAAGGCGTTTTTCTCTCAATATACTTTGAGTAGTGAGAACCGATTATTATTATCTCCAGTGTCAAGTGCTATATGTATAATGGCGAACTAGGAGATATTTCAATAAAACTTAGCAAACAGACGTAATTCCACGTACTTTTGAGGTCGGTCTTTTTTAGTACTCTGTACTGAGATTATTACACATAAAATAACTAATCATTCGTGATATGCAAACAGTGCGACGCTGTGCTTAGTACTGACGCGAGATTGTAATCGCTTTTGAATTGTATTTGCTTTGATGGCTTCACTTTCGTGTTCGGCGCGCTCCAACATTGTAACTAACTCTATAATAACAATTGTTACTACAAAACAATGTTTACATACCGATCAACATAACAAAACAATCGGGATTACGTTATTGAACGTTTGTCCTAAATACGAATGTGGTGTAAAGACATTGTAGATTAATTATTGATTTACTGGTTATGAAAAACATTTGCTATTCGCACGATCGGCAATACGGGCAGACAATGCCGTATTTCACCTAAATTATATTATTATTTATATAAAGATCGAATAAACACAAATATCGGGCCAGGGGTGCATTCCCGTTCTCCGTCCAAAACAATAACTGTCAAGTAAGTAATACTCGACCAAACTAAGGGTCATATTCCAGAACTCTACTCAATGCTCAAGTCAAGATTTGAATATGGTTTAAAGCACTCGAAATCATACTCAAGTCCCTCCCATTAGGGTCGTATTTCCAGAAAAGACGCATGATGCGAATGAAGCTTCATAGTAGTAATTATTTTTTGATTTGTTCGAGTTTTACTTATTGGACAGTAATTGTTTCGTACGGTAGTCGGACGGAGGAAAGGAATAGACCCCTAGCACCCGTTTGACAGACCAGTTGTATGATAACGACCGCGATCGATCGGCTCAAAAAGTGCCCTATTCATCTGTTGCCTTATCTTAAAAAAAATTGTAGGCGCAGCATATGAAAATGAGAAAGACATGTATGTTGCAGATGAATTTGTCAAAATCTACATTAACGAATAACACAAAATCGAGCACGCCCTGAGTGGGAATAATTAATTAAACATAACTTCAACGTTACATAAATGTTTTAAAAAATAATTGAACAAGTATAAAAGGTAGTTAAGTAGCAGTAGACTCCTCGTGAAAGAGTTTGTCCAGGGAAGTATGTACTGCCACCTTACATATTTTTATCGTTAAAAGTAATATGAGCATTACTGTGTTCCGATTTTAAAGGGTAGGGGTGCTGGTGAAATTACACGTTCGTGGAACTTCTCAATTTATGTCTCAAGGTGACAGACACAGTGGCAATGCCCCTCAGGTCTTTGCGAATTAAATTTCTGAGTAGCACTACAACTGTTATGTACAGGCGTGTCGCTTACCACCAGGCACACGGCTTGTTCGTCCCGTCATTTGGTACCATAAAAAAGTTGCTACATTCATTCTCTCATCGCTTGCAACACGCGCGTCAAATTTCAGAACAATGTGCGCTTTTGTATTTACGAATAACATAATCTGTTTGTTCGACAAACAATGGTAACGTTTCGAAAATTGCTTTCTGCGTTTTTAAGATTTTTATCTTAGAAACGAAGAAACGTGTTATCAACAGAACTTTGTTTCTTTTAAGAACATAGGTCTGATCATAAGTGACATTTGAGATTGTGTAAATAATCTATTTTATTCAGAGTGTAAATATCTATTGGCGTGGTTGTCTGTATTATTAATTTGTGTTTGTTGTGTGTCCACACTTACTAAACATTACTAACAAAAAGCACATAGCAATCATGCCGTTAACTATTTTATGTATCTATAATTGTATCTTATTTATTGACTACAAAAATACAAGATTTATAATACGACGATATATACGATGTAATTATAAAATAATAATGAGTAGTGAAATCAATTAAATTCTATGTTTCATTCTTCAAAATTAATTTAATAATAACCTGTTCTCTCTAATATTGTATTACTTAGTATATAACATAAAATGTTGATTAAGGCTTAATTTTAAATTGATTTGCTGTTACATAATAATATTTAAACAATCAATTTATCAATTTGTTATTTTGTATTTCACTACGTACTAAATCAATGCGGAAGACACTCTTAATATCATCTTTGTGTTATAGAGTCTTATCAATTTAAGCATGGACATAAGTGTGGCAAAATATTGTGTATAGCTTTGTGATAGTAATTCCTGTAAGATACACATGATGTGATAAATACGCGGAGTTTAGATTTTTCTTTAAAAAAAATACATATATGTTATACCAATACTTTTAACAATTGTAATTATACAGCCCAGGGATTTTTTTATATATTAGCAAGTGATGGGACGAACAAGTCGTGCGCCTGGTGGTAAGCGACACGCCTGTCCATAATAGTTGCAGTGCTACTCAGAGCCTGCAAGGACAAAGATCAGAGGAACACTGCCATTGCGCCTGTCATCCTGAAACATAAGTTGAGAGGTCCCATGTGCCTGTAATTTCACCAGCCCCTTACCCTTCCCCTTTAACCCGTACCCTTCGAAACCAGAACGCAATAATGCTCACATTACTGCTTGGCGGTTTGAATAGATCCCTTTTTAGCAGTGAATTTTAAAAAATTCGAAAAAAATACATAATGTATACATTTCATTAATGGTTCCAATGATGGTGGGATCTTTGGAGAATAATACTCACAAATCACACATGCTTTTAATCAAAAATTTTATGGACTGGATCTATTTGTAGGATCTAAGTATACTTTTGAAAGGAAATTTGAAACAGTACTACCTGAAAAAATATTTGAAAAAAACTGAAATTTAAATTTGAATACAGTGGGGTGTATCATTTGCAGAATTGGTTTAGTATTCTTGTTTCGAGTCTATATATTTATTAACATTCTTTTTTAATTCACGCTTTTTTGTAGATCAGGATTGCACACTGCACATCGCTTTGTTTTTTTTTCTTTTTTTTTTGCTATACATATTATAATAGGCGGTATGTGTTTGTTTTTTTTTTTGAGGTGTTAGTTTTACCTTACTTTTGCCATAAGTTAAATATTTCTTAATGAAAATATGGACAACTGTAATTGGTGGTAACTAGCTTTAACTAAAAATATTCAATAGAAATCGTGATTAATAGATGTTGTTGCTCCGAATAAAAAAAAACCAGGTGTACAGTTTTTTTAAATTAAAGCATACTTTACATCAGCATTCATAGAAGCTAGCGCATACAATAGGTAACCATGAACTATGGAAGAATGATTGTTATATAAACAACTTACCAGAAGCAGCCATATGCTCACTAGTCCGAATTGGTTGGAATCCAACAAATGGAATCTGCATCGAACACAGCAGTCCGATGATGTAAAAGATGGTGTAGCTGACAAACAATCTTTGAGAGAACCGGCCCATGATAAGCAGCACAAATACATGCAGGGGGATCAGGTTGATTATAAATACGTAGCCACCCCATGCTGACACCTAAGAACCAGAAAAATGAATAATTGTAACTTTTAAATGGAATGAAAATATTCCAATACTGTACTATTATTGTTCAATAACAGGAAAAAATGTTAATCAATGGTAATATATTGACATCCCACCAAACAAACATTGTGATTGTTACACATAGGAAATGAAACAATTTTTTACACCTGAATCTCGTTTTTTTTTTTTTTTTTTCAAACAAACCAACCTTTACAGGTCCCATGGTGATCATGGTAATCACATACCATGACCATGGGAAAAAATTTCATTTCCTAGTACACATTTATGCAGTGGGGCCATTGATAGATATATTGATAGATATTCTGTACACATACGAAGTCCTACAGGGGAGTAAGCACATATAGATAGTAATGGTTTAAATTATAAAATATTGGTATTTTTGTATTTTATAGAATTCTCAAAAACTTAAATCTTCTTGAATGCACCAAAATCAATATTTGTAAGAAACTTGTGATTAAAAATTACAAATTTAAGGATTACAAATAGTATGTGGTCTATTGTAATGATTATGATAACACCAAAGCAAAAGTATTATACAGTATAATGCAGTTCTCATTTAAACTCTTAAGTGCAATTTTAATTGTGAGAAGGGAAATAAATCTTACATTTTGCTAGGTACCTCATAAAGATTAAGAATTTGATAGGTACATATAAATGTTGCAGTATAATTTCAAATAAAAATGACAATAATTGAATCTTACCATGTAAAAGTAGGACAGTGCAGTACAGACAGACCAGAAAATTGATCCAGTTTTCACACTCTTTAGCCACAAATAGTAGGTGAATTGCAAAGCAAAGATGGCTATGCCCTCATTGTCATAACTGCCAGCTACGGAGCGGCTGCTGTAGCCAGGAATTATTGCTATGAAGCAAGCTGCAAATAGACCAGCTCCACGAGACCATAGCTCAGACGTCAGTAGGTAGGTTGCTATGGCTGTTAAACCACTAAAAGGAAAAAATTACCATTTAGTTCAAGAAACCAAGACTGTGCAATGTAGCTGTAGCTAGGAGGCAGTATCCCACCTGAATACAGGAGCCAGGAACACACAAATATCTCTGATATGGATAGGAATGTTCAAGGCATGCAGAACCCAATGTATAGTCCCTGATGTAATCATAAGTCCAGGGTAAACGGTGCCCCCGACTATACGCCCCAGCGGGTACCATGCTCGTTCGTCGAACCAGTTCAAGAAGTTGTAAAACCCATGCTCCACCATATAAGCGGTACTCCGGTAGTTGAACCTGAAACATGTCCGAGGTTAAACTAATACATGATGACGTTACCAAAATGGTCAGAGGATTCTGATAAGAAGTATTATCACTTACCACGGATCAAACTCGTGAATAATGCTCTCGAAACGTATAACAGCGAAAAGCCGGGATGCGAAACCGGCCAACCAAGCCAATGACAACACGGTCACTGTGATCAGCGTGCTAAAGCCGGTCATGTTATTGAACATCGTCTTTGTGGGACTGCTCCCCGGCTTCCCAACTGCGGCAGCCGGCATCTTTGAGTTGGATTATATTAACGGCTAGTCTAAATTTTCACGAAATATGTATTTTCATACATCAGTTCCAACAATTCGATTTTACAAAAATTGACTTTTATGAATAAGTGACGGACACGTCTCTCATAAAAATCAGTTGCCAGAATTAAAAAAATAATAGTTGCATTCATCGTGAAACATGTGAAATGACAACTGGAAAAATCTGATTCTTTTCTGTTTTTATTTTGTACTAATCAAACTATCTTTTGACTTTGGGTACCGGCATTTCAACAACATTTAGATCATGCAACAAAGCACATTGTTTTTAGGTCACTGTTAAACGCTATTGTTTGGCGATTTGGTGATAAACTGTAATATGTCGTCCTTCTGTTGCTGAAACATTTTACCTCATGCAACACTGATATGTTCTTGACAGCTGTTGTTGACGTTTGCAGGTACTACTTGGGATATTTGCTATCGGATTGTGCTGGTTTCAGAATTTAAATAAATTCGATTGTATATATTAAAACTCCTTTAATAATACATGTTTAACAAAATTATTATTTAATAACAAATGTCCAATTATCAAGAAATCGTTAATTTAAACATAGGAGGAACTAGGTAAGTAAGACACTGGAAAAAGACGTGATATATTTACTATTTTTCAATCTTTACACGGTATCGTAAACTTTTGGTCTTTAGTTGCATCGTGTCTTAAAATGAGATGGTGTTGAGCTTAGTACCACGCCTCTTAAACGGTTCAAAATGATTGTTGTATATAGCTATGATGTACAGTTCGATGCTCTATTTATCAAATTGTTACGGACGTTTATTCAGTTTCAAGCAAATAATTGGATCTTTTATAGCAGTTCAGAAGACACAGTAAATTAAATTTCTGTCCTAAAAAAATTGTTTTCTAATTGGAAATAATTTTTAACATGAACATTTCCTTATCGCAATATTATTTACCTTAAAAATATGCGACCACCTTACAATAAGTGATTTAATGTATGAATCCAAGTTAAACTTAGATAAGTTAATTTTTTACCTTAAGATTTTATTAAACTTTAGCATACTTTTAGATCCTTTCAGATGTTTTTTTTCTTATCTTTTTGCCAACATGCAATCAGTTTTATGTGAAACCTTAAGCAGTTCATGTTTTAATATATTTTTGTATGTTGGGCATACTCTTCCCACGCTGGGTTGCCGTTATGTGGATAAGTATTCAGTTCTGTTAATTGAATCCCAAATGTGTTTACCCTTCCATCTTCTCGTCCGTGGTGGTACACACAATGCTTAGTACGAGTGGCTATTCTTTCTTTATAGGACTTAGTTAGCTTAGTTATTTCCTCAATAATTGTAGGCATTTTAAAATATTTGTGGATCTTATCTATTTTAGTGAACCATGGAACATTTGTAAATTACTTAAGAATATTGTTTCGGTATTTTTGCAGAATGTCAATGTTTGACTAACTAGCAGTTTCCTCAAGCTCGATACCATAGGTTCAAATTGGTTTCAGAACTGCCTTGTAGATAATTAGTTTGTTTTCTAGAGATACTTTAGATCTTCTACCCAGTAGCCACTCCAAGTACCTGATTCTGTAATTGAGTTTATCACGTTTCTTTTGGATGTGGGTCTTCCATGTTAGTTTCTGATCAATGTATAACCCAAGGTACTTTACTACTTTGTTATGTGGGAGAGTTTCTAGGCCTAACTTTACTGGAGGACAATCTTCTTGTCTCAAGGTAAAGGTGACATGTTTGGGTTTTACTGCTCTTGTCTTGATCCGCCAGGATGACATCTACGCATATACCTTATCTAGGTGCGTTTGTAATTTTCGTGACGCTTCGTCAGGTTTGGTATCAGAGCTTAAAACTGCTGTGTCATCAGCAAATGTGGCTGTCATTACATTGTCAGACTCAGGTACATGTGATGAATATATGAGGTACAGAGTTGGCCCCACAACGGAACCTTGCGGAACTCCTCCTTGTATCTCCTAGAAATTTGATATCGCGTCGTTTATTTTGACATAGAATATGCGAGAAAATCGCATATATATTATACTTCTGAAAGTACCTCCTTACGGAACTACTTTCAGAAGTATAACATTTGATATGGCTTGACATAGTCTTGAATAAAAAAAAAAAGAAAAAAAAAAGAATACAATATCCAACCAATAAATTCAAATTGATAAAGTAAATTTAATCTACAAAGTTATTTAAATCAATGAAAATAATTAGATAAGAGTAATAAATCTATACTTCAGGGAAGAAAGAGCTAAAAAAGCTAAACTACAAAGTTTACAAGACAAGTATTTATAAACATTTTGGTTATACATACATACATACATTTTACTATACTATGTTTATGTAAAATAGCAAAAGTAAGCTTCTACTTGGAAGAGTTTGATAATTTAATTTCGTAACTACTACTTTAAGGTCACATTTGTTTATAGAAGCGCTGCAGTGGCGTGGCAGCGCGCGTGTCACGACAGTGGCGCTGCAACTGCACTTCTAAATATTACATGAGATATTGTATGAAAATTAGTAATGGTGCCACAGTAGCGCTTGTATAGGCGCCTCATTTGAAGGCGCCCTAAATACCTTTCGTCCTTAAGTTTCAAAATATGCTAGAGAATTACAATAATAACAAGGCTTCAAACTCTGTACTCTCAACACTGTGTGAATGCGAGTAACAATAACTCAATGTTAAATAGAATATAACCATTAATTTGTGTTTTATAGATTCGCTACATCCTGGCATACTTTGACATGGGTACCAGACACATTCTTCACAGCACTATTAAGTGGCAGGATACCCACAGTCAGAGATGAAACTGGAGCCATATTCATTGACAGAGATCCAAACTTATTTGGCCTTATCCTCAACTTCCTCAGGACAAGAGATATAGACCTTAATAACGTAAATATAAGAGCGTTGAGACATGAATGTGATTACTTCGGCATCACTCCACTGAGTAGGAGATTGGCGCTTTGTGATGAGATGAATCATTCTTCATGTGGGGATGTGCTGTTTTATGGATATCTGCCTCCACAATGTAAGTTGTTTTATTTTTAAATTAGTTGTACTTCTTGATTTAGGATTACCTTATATTGGTTATATTTTTCTCTAAAATAATACTGCTCTGCACTATTAACAGTTCTTCTGTCCATAGTGACCCTCTCTGTAGTATGTACAGCATTTCCTTAATGGCTGAGAAAAAGTATGTTACTCTTATTGAAATGGAGTATTTAGTATTTTAAAATAACAGAATAATTAGAGTAAATAGAGCATAATTTAAATGAGTTATAAATAAAGGCCTATTGTATGTATGTACCATTTCCTTACAAATCTATAATTTGTTTTCCAAATTGCATTGTTAACAGTGATTTAACTACATTGTCTAAATTAAATAAATGGTACAAATTTTTTACTCTAACTTATATTTTTCAAATTTATATCACAGTTACTTGTAAACCTAGTGACCGAAAGTAAATATTATCTTTGCGTGGTAAAACAATCATAGTCCCATTATAAATGTGCCATATTATCAAACAGTAAGTGATGGATATTAATTAAAAAAAACACATTATAAAGTCACTGTGAACAAGGTGGATTTATAAATGTGTTGATAACTATAAAAAGTTTGACAACTGTATCAATTTAATGTAATAGACGATTCTCGTCTTTTCATGTATGTAGTTTGTTCGACGTTATCAAAAACGGTCTAAATTTTAAATCAATTCATAGAGTATGGCTGCAAAAAAATAAAATTCTTCATGGTTACATCAGTTTGGCAATCTAAATTTTACATACTGAAATCGTAAAATTTGAGATTACACGTAAAAGATAAATTTATGTCAAACATACCCATTGTGAGTTTGTAATGTTCATGGATTTTTCTTCTATGTAAATAATAAATAATATCAGATTTATTATAAAATGGAAGAATTAATATTAAGGTCTGAATACTTAATATACTTAATATACTAAATACTTAAGGAAAACTATAAATAATTGTTTACATAAATACCATTTTCCTCAATGTAATTTGTTTTATATACAGGATGTAGCTGTAGTTGATTAAAGAAAACCATTTTTTTTCTCAATCCATATGATATGAACAACAGCTGGGTACGGGTCTTATCTGAGAGTGGTTTAGTGCGCGTCCAAAAAAAGCGCTGCAGTGTACCTCTCTGACGCTGCAGCCGCACCACTGCTAATGGTCATATAATATTTACAAGCGCAGTTGCAGCGCCACTGTCGCTGTCGTGACACGCGCGCACAAAGAATAGAATAATACAGGAATGAAACGCACGCGTCATTTTTGCAGTCACAATTAGTGAACTAGAGATGCATTAGGGCACCTTGTGAAAGAGTTTGTCGAGGGAAGTACTGCCACCAACCAGTAATGCAACCATTATTGTGTATCGATTTGAAAGATAAGGGGGCTGGTTAAATTAGAATTAGATCCCAGGCACATGGAACTTGTCAATTTATGTCTCAGGGCGACGAGCGCAGTGACTGTACCCTTCAGACTGTTATTCTACAATATTATCATGAAATATTATTTAATATTTGAGTGTGATATCCTGAAATATTATTTAATATATTCAAATACTTAAATAACAAAAATTGCCACCGAAATCAGGTAGACAAAACTAACGTAAATATAACCCGGCCACGAATTTTGTATAACCTAATACAAATTTAAATGATCTGGTTTTAAGTATAAGTATTTCGATAATGGTTTAAAAAAGAAATGAAAACATTTCAGTAAACGCTCAACTGCCAAACAACGGTAATGGAAGAAACGGCAACAGTTGTTCACGAAAGAACTCCACGGCGTCAAACACAGATACTTCAGCCAATAGAACACATTCTAGAAATTCATCTTTGGACCTTCGTACAGTTGGCAGGATACCATCTCAGGATCAGTTGAGGTATAAACATACACATGTGCACCCATGAGTGGTTTTAAATGCAGCCAATGACACTCATCTTTACCCCCAAATGAACTTGCGTTTTTAAAAAACAAATGTGTCACACAAATTTATTTGTCTCACACATTTATTTTATAATATCAGTGGCGCTAGCACGATAGGGCGCTAACGCCAGAACGACAAAAAGTGCGAGATACTGCTATTCTCGCATATAGATCTCGCACTTTATGTCGTATTCGCGCAAGTCGCCCCTTGTCATGCTAGCCCTACTAGTTCCCTGTAATATATGCATAAGAATGACGAATTTAACTTCTGAGTCAACTTCTCCAGATGATCCAGACTAGAACCGTTTTAGTAAGTTGGTTCCCTAATTTTTTCCTACCTGTAGGGCTAGCACGATAAGGCACGACTTGCGCGAGAGCGACATAAAGCGCGAGGTCTCAATACGAGAATAGCAGTATCTCGCGCAAGTCGAGCCCGTTTTTGCTACGCCTACTGGAGTCGACCTCGTGACCTCGACACACAAAGCACTAACCGCCAATGGCTTGTTTTCAGTCGATGTGGTAGAGGCCACTCTAGAGCAGCCTCTCTCGGAAATACGGACTGCCATAAAGTGCTGCGACCCCCTGAAAGTATGTTCAAATTTAAACTTTATTTTATTATTTTAAGATTGATACTTTAATTTCAGCAATTTTTATTACCATACTAAAATAATGTTTTATTTTTATTTGTATGTTATTAAAATTACTTAACCCTGATGTCCACTTGCATTAAAATAAAGGACTTTTAAACCAATGCTTGCAATGGAAAAGACACTTAATACGTTGTGCCAAGAGTGTCTTATCAACTTAATTCGTTTAAGACATATGTAAATTTAGTAGACATACTACTAGACACTATTATACCTGTACCTTTACCATGTAGTCACTTTTATTTCAAGCGACCGCGTATAATGTTTGTATGTAAAATGTTGCTTCTTTTTAACCGACTTCAAAAAAGGAGGAGGTTCTCAATTCGACTGTATGCTTTTTGTTTGTATGTTTCGCGAAAACACAAAATTTGTGAACCGATTTTGATGATTCTTTTCTTGTTGGAAAGAGGGGTACCTCAGATGTGGTCCTGTGAATGTGGAATTTCAAGAAAATATTCCACCTCTAAGGCTAGGGGAGGTCGGTTTTTTTAGTACTGTTTTTGGGGACCACTAGAGGGCGCTGTACAATTGGCCATATAAAATTGTGAAATATTTACTGTCACAGTATAATCATGGTAGAGATGCTGATAGAAGATTGGCTGTCGCGTATAGACATTGGTGATATTTAGATAATATTATTAATGGCTAATTCAGGTGAGTTTTCTCCACCTTATTTCGGTGGCAGTTTTTATTATTAAGTATTGTGAAATATAAAAAAAATATTTCAGGACACTACAATCGAATAATAAGTAATACTTCATGATGATATTCTAGAATATTTAAATATTAAAGATTGCCACCGAGATTATGTAGAGAAAACTAACCTGAAATTTACGATACGCCGTTAAGTTGGGATTGTCGTATTGACACACTGCGCGTAGTGCTTGACTTGTTATTATTTCCAATGTGTCTTAATTTTTGGAATATTTGTACTTCTGCATAGGGTTTAAAGTGGTGGTGTTATATGGACTCTTTATTACATAATATCCATCGTGTAATGTACCTTTTATGCATGTACTGACAAAGTATGGTTAGCTGGGCGTCCATCCCAAAAATATAAGAAGTATTTTCTGGAACACTTAATAATTTTGCATCAAAACCAATTAAGAAAATACTAAATAGAAAATATTAAATATTACAAAAATGTATTTTCATTCCCTCACAATGCAAGGTGTACCAGGAAATTACATTATATTTTCCATTTTTATATTGCAGTCAATGCGTGGACAGACACAATGAAGGTTCAAATAATAAAAGCACATCACAATTGGATAGCAGTTGCGTATTCTCACTTTGTTACTGGATACAGGTAAAATATTGTTTTCCTTCACATAATCACTTCAAACATGCAAGCGTACTTGCTTTAATTTTACCATTTTCAAATGTGTTCACAATAGCCCCCTTACACCGTCACTCAATCGCGCGTGATCAGGAGGGTACGGGATTGCACGCGAGAATTGTGCGCGATTACCTGTTTCAGATTTTTTAAGCTGAAGTATAGCTTAAAAAATCTGTACGACCATTTATTTAACTTTTGACATATGCATGCCTCCGAAGTTCCGTAATTATGGACCTACAACCATAGAAAAAAAAATCAATACTTCCTGGTCTCTTATATTTTTAATTTTGGTGAAGCGAATTGCCCTTTATCTCCGATATTTTATCGAGACAAGAGATTATGTAACGAAGATTATTTAAGTTGATAAATTTAGGTACCTGTCTAGTAAATTATAATGAAATTAAATGACTTATAAATAATTATAATAAATTCTTATTTATGTTTATTATAATGAATCGTCGGATTTTTCTTCATATGAACGGAAATCATCACTTGAATCCTCATTAACATTAATTATTAATTGAGTACACAAATTGTCAAAAGCAACATCACGATCCCATACAGACAATATCTTCTTTTTTAAAGCCGCTCACATTCATTCATTCACTCACTTCTTTATAAATAAAATCGATTGTTATAAAAAAAATTGAATCGCAAACACATCACTAATTGATTGGAATTCGAGTTGCCAAAGGTTAAAAAATGGATGGACGTAGTATAATGGACTTTCGCGCGCGATTGTTCGTGTTCGTTTTCGTTACAACTGAAAAAGCGTGCGTATAAAGGCTGGTGCGTATAAATGAAACTGGCGCGTGTTGAAGTTCGCGATTGCGCGCGCGGCTGATGAGCGTACGCGCGCGGTCTTTCCATTTTCCTTCCAACGTCTTTGCACTCATTCGCGCAAGATTGCTGTATCACGCGCGAGTGTCTGTGTAAAGTCCGCTAATATCAATGATAATAATGGCCCTGACTACCACATATGTAGGGTTAGCACGGTAAGCGCACGACTTGCGCGAGAGCGACTTAAAGCGCGAGATACTGCTATTCTCGCGTAGATATTTTTTTCATGTTTTATGTCGCTCTCGCGCAACCGTCGTGCTAACCCTACTGGTTTGACGAGGGAATACCCTGTACTGGAGCAACAAACCAATATTCGGAAAACTATCGTAAAAAAACTCATTTTTCCCCACTTATAATTTTTATTGTATGTTATAGTAGCGTGTTGTTTGATTATCGATATTATGACATAGGAAATGAAACTATTTTTCCGGATTTAAATCACGTATATTTGTTTTTTCCAACAAACCAACGTTCTGTGTCCGTGACGGGCCCTTTCCTAACTGTAAATGATTAATATGTGCAGATGTAAATGATTTATTTGCAAAGAGCATCCCATAGTTTCTTGCTCAGTCGTTTTATTTGTCAAATGTGCCTTACGAATAAATAGTAGAGTTTGATAAATGTGACTATTTGAAGTGTTTAAATTTACTTACCTATGAAATAAAGATTATTTGAGTTTGATTTTATAATTACAGTGTGATAATAACATCAATAAAACCTTTTTTCTTAACACTAATTGTTCTCTTCCAACACCAACGTTCCCGATTAACTTGTCAATGTATCAATTCTGCCGTCCTCTAACTAAAATGCGGAGATATCGTTTTTGAGATATCTTAAAAAACCACAACCCAGTTTTAGGATATTAAAATTGTTTAATGATATTTCAGCTATGCATCGTTAGGGTAAGTTCCGATGAGTAGAACACGTTAACTCATTTTAAATATTTTTAAAAGAGAATTGTGTGCTCTATCGTTTTCTATTTAAAACAGATATTTGACCATTTGTCACTTAGCCGTTTTAGTTGACGGCAGAATTTGTATTATTTAAAAGCAATAAAATGAAATAGTTCAAATCAGGTGGTACATGATTGGTTAGTTTCATAACGTTGACACTTTATTTAGGCTAAGAACTCACGAAGTGGTTTTGCACCCTCCCGATGCGGCTGCGGGATAGCTGTTTTATTTCAATACTAACGACACCGCGGGTTTGTGTCGTCACGTATCTGCCGCGGTTGCGGAAAGAACCGTAAACGTGGCGGGAGATGATCGTAAGTCACGCAGTTATTTACGATCGATCGAGATCGTCGCCGACGAACCGACCACAGAGTGCAATGATAACCGCCCGCGCGGTCCTGCTAGTACCCCGCAGATGCTGCGGCTACCGCGAGCAACCGTCTGCGCCACTAGCATAAAACGCGTCGTGAAGTGTGCTACTAAATTTTACATATATATCTAAATTTACGGAAGGCGTGGTACAGCAATAACGGCGGGCGCGGGCGGTTACCGTTCCGTGAGTTCTTTCTTAGCTTTAGTTTCTAAAGACCTCACGCTAAATAGCCTATAACTTTTCAGATTAACAGATTCATGTGGTTGGTATGTAGTGTTTCAATCTCCTGTACAAGACTCCGTGATAGAGAGGATAGCCTTGAACGCTAAAACAAGTGGGGGTGGCGCTAACTCGAGCGGGAACAATTCATCGGGCACTGACGTCATGTTGGGTATAGCAAGTGGTCCACTGGTGCGGTTATGGGCATTTTCTACGCACAGTGAACCTATTCGAAGAACTTTAATTGGTGAGTGGCATACGTCGTTAGGAACTTACTGTTATATTTATTTAAAAGTTAGAAATTACATTTATTTATTTACCACAAATGACACCACAAAAGAAAAAAACTAAACAAAACAGAAGGAAAACACAAGTTAAACTTTCCTACGTGAAACATGAATATAATATGTATAATTACGAAACAATACCCCAAACAAAACTAATTTATTTAAATTTTAATTTAAAAAAAAATAAAAAAATGTATATTTAAAAAAAAGAATATAATAGTTATTTATTATGCAAGGCTGCAAAGTTGTAGTTTGGCGCGAGTGCTCGTATTGAAACTTGAGCAAGTGAAGGACACTAAGGATCGTATTCTAGAACTCTACTCAATGCTCAATACATATTATATTCATGTTTCACGTAGGAAAGTTTAACTTGTGGTTTCCTTCTGTGTTGTACCATAATCATAGATAAGTCAATATCGACTTGCAAATGTATGGCTTGAAAGTTAAAACTGTTTTTCATGTTTGTAATTTGTATAGTTTATTGTAATCAAAGCATGATTAATGAAAGTTTAATTAAAGTATGTCAATATTCCACTTGGGAATGTTTTATGTCATAAATATGGGAATATCCGGAAATGTCATATGAGATTTTGAAGCATTTTTAAATGCTCATGTATTACGAAAAGTGAATTTGCACAGAAAAAAATGGAATTTGAGAGGATATTAAAAAAATATAAAAAAATTGTAATCTAAATCTGGACATCCCTACGCATTTCCAATCTCAAGATTGATATTAAAAATAAATTTTAAAAGGTTTCCAAATAGTGTAAGCTGTTTTGTATTTATGCATTGGTATAGAATAAATATCAGTGATTTTGATTTAGGTGAATATTTAACACTTCCTTTTAATTTTCGAAATAAATAAAATTACTGATGTAATAGTAGTAATATTATCGATAAACATAACATCACATATCATATTAATAACACGTTTATTCGCTTAATTACGTGTAACAGAAGATGTAACAAAAGGCAGTGCCAGTACAAACATGTTTCGCATCTTAAACAATCATATATTAAACTACTACAACAATAAAAATGTCAGGAGTTACAAATTTAATTTGCCAAGAATTATTAAAATCAAGATATAATTTTACATCTTTACATCATCTTTTGCATTATCATGTAATTCAAAGTTCTATTAAAATTTTACTCTTCAAAATGGACCGAACAAACGAAAATGGTATTTGATCCAATGTTTATGTTCGGCAGTCCTATAATTTCCAACCATTCTTTCTTTCCTTTTTCATTTGTACGTAAATTACAAAAATAAAAATAATAATTATGAAAAAATAAAAACCTCGTAGTGAATTGTTTTAATAACAGAATATCGATAAAATGTCTGCTTACCAGAACAACACTATCTCTCTAATGCTATCTCTTTTGATTTACGACGGCACGCAGTAGTTAAACAAGGACAATAAAATGTTTATGTTTTCAACGTCGAAATGCATCATATACATATAACGTCTGAGTTATATACCTTTGTCAATATGACATATCCTTTGGTTTCCATCGTCTAAGGTAGTACTATATTGCCAGCCAAACTTCGAGCAGAAGACAGCCTAGTCTCACGTGTCTGCTGACTGGCTGGTATTACTAGTTCGTAAGATGAAATTACAAGGCAGTTTACAGCGTAAACTGCGTGGAAATAAGAGTTTATATTAGGCCCCCAAGACACGAAACTGAATGGTTTACTGCTGTTACTTAATGTCAAAATAACATTTGTAAATCGACATTGCCAGCCAAACTTCGGGCAGAAGACAGCCTAGAGTCACGAGACCGCTGACTGGCTGGTATTACCAGTTCATAATACGAAATTAGAAGATAGTTTACTTTACGGTGTAAACTGCGTGGAAATAAGAGCTCACATTAGGCCCCCAGCAGGCGCCTATTTTGCGTGTCAATCGAAAGATCGTATTCCAGAACTCACTCAAATAGTCACGAAGTTAATGCTCGTAGTAAAACTTGAATTTTTCCACGAACATAACCAGCCTACATTACCAGCACTGAAAAATTATTCCTGCTACAAATGCAGATAATGTAGTAGGAATGTTTGTTCCCTTTACAAAACCATTATGGCGGACCGGTAATGTACGAGGTATAGCAAATACCGCTACATAACCTACTTAGTTATGTACAAATAATTTTATTCCCTTTACAAATCCAATATCTCCAATAATCCAATATAATAATCCAACCGGTAATGTACAAGGAAAAAATACTAGTGCCTAATCTTGATTGACTTTTGTGCCATTTTAACCAATAAACATATTACGAATTCACTGAATTTTACCTAAAAATCTTTGAATTTCGCTATCTATTGACACAATTAATCACGTGAATCACTTATCGCAACTACACTATTAAGTTCTAATAATTGTATAATAATTAACCCTCATAAGAAGGTTCATTATTATAGAATTAAGGTTCCTTTTTAACCGACTTTAAAAAAGGAAGAGGTTCTCAATTCGACTGTTTTTTTTGTATGTATGTTACGCGATAAAATTTGTGAGTCGATTTTGATGATTCTTTAGTCAAAGTCAAATAATCATTCATTCCATAGGTAAAATTTTTACACTTGAAAACGTCATTTTTTAAGCTACTGCTGGTTCGCTACGCTGACCTCCCTGAGAAGAATAAGCTAGAAACTCGAGGGATTGCTCTTTTCAAATAAACTTAAGTGCTATAAAATACATTTTGAATCATATTTGCGTTGAATCTAGATTCACGCTGTCTTTCCATACATCTTTATGTAACACGTAGTCTACAATTTTGTAACATATTAAAAAAGTCATATTATAAAAGTCATAACTTTTCAATTAAAATACTTTTAATGTAAGTTTTAAACTTAGGAACTGGTAAACTTAATATATGCTCCGGAATCTTATTGTAAAAACGTATACAGTTCCCCATAAAAGAATCGTTTACCTTAGTTAAACGAAAACGTGGTACCATGGACTTAGTTCTAAGGTTAATATTATGGATATTGTCTTTCTAAACGAAGTTATGTTTATTTTTTGTTGCAAAGAGGGTACCTTAGTAGTGGTCCGATTTAAATTTGAAGAATTATAAAAAATATTTCACCTCTAAGGGTGGCAAACTTGGATATGAATCCGGTTTCGTGCACTTTCCTTTAACCAATTTCAATACAAGTTGGCAAATAAATGTAATTCCATGACTTTTTGAGGTTGATTTTTTAGTACTCTATACTGAGATTATTTAATGTTATTATCACAGCTATCTTTTGCGTTTGTTTTACTTGAATTAGATTAAGTTATAATGAAATAAATTAATCTTTATCCTAATTTATCGTTATTGTGAATATTAGCGTTCGATAACAAAATCATCCAGTTAAATGTTGTTTACAAGGATAAAACCCTTTCAGGAACCTTCAACCTCGGTGTTCGAGTGGAACACTTACTCTTCGTAGGTCCCCAACTTGTCGCCTTAAGCGGTGCCGGAACCCGTAGCAAAGCCGGTGTCTGGCACACTAGCACGCAGCACTGGCAAACACAGGATGTGGCCCATCTTACTACTTATGATACTGCTGGATCGTTCCTATTGCTTGGCACTGCGACAGGAGCTATTAATTATATAGGTAAGTTACGACGGTAAGGGGGTTGTTCAGATGCTGTTTAGCGCTATTTTATTTTTCACTAGCTGGTGCCCACGACTTCGTTTGCGTGCAATAAGTACTTCGAGTGCCGCCCCACTGTGCTGTACTAATTTTGATACTTTTATTGGTTCTCCAATACAAACTTTCATCCTCTATTTGCCCCTTTAATAAGTTCGTTGCCAGCTTAATTTTTTTTTTAAATTTCAAATAATGGCATTAACTTATATGACTGTTGTTGGTCTTTTTTTTTTTTTTTTTTTTTATACCTGACAGGCAAATGGTCTCATTTGTATATTATGTATATAAGTATTTTCTATTATATATATAATATTTCATTGTTTGGCTCTATTCTGGGATTATTTTTAGTGCCGGATGTAACCAACTGTTTCCACACAAGTCAAAGTCAAAGATTATTTATTCCATAGGTAAAATAAATTTACACTTAAAAACGTCACATTTAAGCTACTGCTCGTTCACCACGCTGACCTCCCTGAGAAGAACGAGCAAGAAACTCTAGGGATTGCTCTTTTCAAATAAACTTAAATGCTATGGAATACACTTTGAATCAAATTTGTGTGGATTCTGGAGCCATGTCGTCTTTCCATACATCTTTATCTAAAACGTAGTCTTCAATTTTGTAATATGATTTTTCGGTCAAAATATTTTTAATGTAGTTTTTAAACTTAGGAAATGATAAACTTAATATATGCTCCGGAATCTTATTGTAAAAACGTATACAGTTCCCCATAAAAGAGTTGTTTACCTTGGTTAAACGAAATCGTGGTACCATGAGTTTGGACTTAGCTCTAAGGTTAATATTATGGATATCTTCTTTCTTATTGAAATTATGTATATTTTTACGGGCATATAAAATATTTGAGTAAATGTACTGTGATGCCACAGTCATGATACCAGTCTCCTTAAACTTTTCTCTGAGAGATACCCGAGAGCCTAGATGGTACACAGAACGAATCGCTCGTTTTTGCAATACAAATATGGTTTGAATATCTGCCGCTTTACCCCACATGAGAATCCCGTAGGACATTATACTATGGAAGTAACTAAAGTAAACTAGTCTAGCAGTACTAACATCGGTAAGCTCACGTATTCTGCGGACTGCGTATGCAGCGGAGCTTAATCTGCTATCCAGGGACGATATATGTGAAAACCACTGAAGTTTACTATCTAAGGTCACTCCCAAGAAGACTGCTTTATTAACAAGGTCTAACTTTTCTCCTTTTATTTCTATGCTTGGACTAGTCGATTAAAAAAATAATCTCGCATTTAAATAATAAATAAAATAAATAGTTCTACAAGAACGTTGACTCCGTGTCTTACGACGAGTAACCGAAATTTCACTGTTACTTATTATGTATACAAGGTTAGGTTTAATTAATTAATCGAATACCTTTTAACACTCTGTATTGGTATATCAAACAATTTGTCCTTTAAAAATTCGCTTGAAGACTTAGTCAAATTTGACATTAACGATTTAATTTCAATTCTATGCTGCTAATGATAAAAACGTTCCAAAGTGTAAGTGTAAAGTGTATAACGTCGCTGCAATCGCGGCACTACTAAACAACTAACTTTATTACAATATTTAAAAGCGCACTTGCAGCGGCTCTGTCCTCGTTACACGCGCGCGCCACTTTTGCAGACACAGTTAGTGAACTAAAAATACTGAACCGCTACAGATGCGCGTACCGCGCCACATTCGCGCCACTGCAGCGCTTCTACGAGCCCTTAATTAGAAAGCGCCCTACACAGTTAAGTTTTTGACTGCGTGATAATAGTCTTAATAATTTTTTTTTATCTTCTGTTGATTTTTTTGTGTTTAATTATAGAATGATTCTTGGATAAATATTGTGTTTATTCAGGGCGTTACACAGCTTCTGAATAATTCCCTAATCGAAGTTTTCTCATGGTTTAGGTTATGCGCCAAACTACGCCGCGAAGCGAACGCAACACACTGGCAAGTCTTGTTCTTTTCTGCCAGGTCTTAGTTTAGATTAACTTAAGGCTTTCTTAAGTAATTTTTTTTCAGCTATTATTGTAACTTATTTAGTTTATTTATGGCAAAGTATTATTTAGAAATAGTAAACGTATATTTATTTATTGAATAACATGTTTTACTGCTATATGTATATATTTTTTAAATACTCTACAAATTGGGTATTATTATTGATACAAAGAGCACAGATTTTTTAAAATAAATTTTCGAAATAAAAATCTGTTTTTCGTAGTACATTTTTTGTTATAAATAAAAAACGGAAGTGAACCTTATACCGCTGCAATATAATCGACTTTTTTTGGGAGAAAATTAATAGGCGTTATGCGTTCGTCGTCTTCCAGCAATTACCGCTAGATAGCACATTGAATGAAATTGCAATATAAAATCGAAACGTCGTAACTTGCAATAATAGATATTGAACTTTGAAATTTTAATATAAAATCGTTATTGAATTTTCAACGATATGCCAGCTGGGTAAAGTTTAAATAATATTAACAGTCCAGAATTTGTTACATCCTTTTAAATTAGAAACTACGACTAATCATTATAAAGATATCATAGTGAAAGTGAGAGTTTTGGGGACATCGGTTCTGATAGTCATCGAGGCTTAAGGCGCTTCCACTGTTTTTTTTCTTCCGTGGTTATAACAAACATATAAAGAAATTCACATAGATAAGTACTCGGTTTAGTAGCTCAGTTGGTTAACATCGGTTGCCCCGGTATGGTAACAGACACTGGTGCGAGATCAGTTACACCGAAGAAATTTCTTTTTTGAGTTCGATGTTCGTATCAATGATAACAGTAAACGTCTATTTCGTAAAAGTTTGTACAGCACAGTTCAAACTAAAACAAATTCTGCATCATGGGATCAACCCGCTCTCACACGTTGTGCCAGCTTCTTGTTATTGATGAATTAAAATTGACACGCCATGTACAGTAATAAGAATAGCTGAAAATTTTTTTTCAGACGTAGAAGACAAATTTAAAGCATATCTGTCAATTATCGTTACACGAGTATGCGTGTGACATGAGTATTGTTTTTCAAGCCAGATCGGTATGATTGTCTAGCAAGAGCTCTCGCTCTTGTCGATCCTTCAATTGCTGAGGTTTATGATAGGCATTAAGCTGCGCGCAACAACAAATTTAGAGTTAAAACTCTCAAAATCCTAATTTATTTGTTCCATTACTAATACAAAACGTGTTCCAATGCTTCTAAAGGCTATTTTCATATACATATGTGCTACTTCAATATGAAATACAATGTCAAAAAAAAAAGAGTGCAATTACTATCTTCGGTGGGATATTATTAATTTATTACTATTATTAGGAGAATTTCGACGACTCGGTAACTGGATCCATGGCTCAAATGATTAGAGCAATACTACTATGCAGTATGGACTTGGGTTCAACTGCCACCGGGTCGACGATGAAAAAATTTTTCTGTGTGTTCGATCTTCGTATTCATAATCAATTTTAATTATCTTTATGCGTTTTCTACTGTTTCTTGGGTATATTTTCCTATTTACGTTACCTGTTTAATATACATTCTACATTGTTAAATCTCCATCGGACTCAGTCGCCTGCGATGTGTTTTGCATTTGCAATTCAAATTCTTGCAGTTGGTCCCTTCATCCAGCGGTTTCTTACTTGATTTTTACTCTTTACTACCATACCTACTAGCTTGAAAAACTACACTTCTTCCACACTGACACTAATTTAAGTAACTAAGAGAATTAGTAAGTCCTTTCTATTCTATTATTATACATTATTCTATTCTTATTATATTTACATATTTCTATTCATTAAGAGTTTAATATAAAATAGACATTTATTGCAACGCCACAACACAGATACAAAAAAAATGATAAAACACTTAAATAAGCAAAACAAAATAAAAAGAATTAATAAAAAAATACAAAAATTAAAATAAAATAAGACAAAACAAACAAAAGAAAAAAAGTATATATAACAACTACAAACGTTGTACTGTAATTTGTGCGATTGTGGCGAACGCAAAAGGACTTCATTCAGCTTATGCCACAGCAATAATTGATTGTGGCGCTGGTTTGCAATGAACCCTGATTATAACTTATGAATAGCCCGTCTTCTGGACTTTTGCATAAATTTGAACAGACCTTCAATCGGATCGCGAAAACTTAATGTGTTAACTCATATGAAGTATCCTTTGTCGACAGACATGCAGAAATTTCCGCTCCGTATGAAGGACAACGATTTGCTGGTAACACAGTTATACAAGGACCCTAATCAAGAACCAATTACTGCTATATCAGTCTATCTTACTCCTAAAACTAGTAAGTATACTTGCATACAACACATTGAACCACCAAAGTATTTTACTTAATCAAACAAAATTTTGTTTTATCATCGAGTATACAATATACTAGAAATAGAGACGAAATAAGGGTCATCCATCTCTGGCGACTCATCAGGCAAATGGGCATTATATCACTTTTAAATATCAACTCTCGTTTGCACTGAAATCACAAATTAGAAAACTGAAATAGTACAGCGCCAACAACTAACCTGTGTGTACGTTTCCGTATATTCCAAAAATATTCTATATTTATTGTAATGAAGATAATATTTCTAATTATGGGGGGCTGCTCCATTCGGTGTTGTGGGAAAAACAGCAAAACATCTAATTTTTTAAATTAAATTTACAAAACAATCGGAATCACATTTCATCGATAATGAAATATGTAATTTTTCAATTTTCGTCCATTATAGCAAGGCTCAAGCTAATCGATTTGAAGTGAAACAATTGACGACACTCGTCAATTGTTTCAAATTCGGACCGGCCAATAGGAGCGCAGTTGTCACCGTAATGATATGGCAGAATAGTTTTCAAACAAGTTAAATGACATTTCGTCTCTATTTCTGATCTTCGTCTATATACTCGGTGTGTTTTATAAAGAAATTGCGAGTGTTTACTTGTTACACTGAATTTCGCTGTTGAATGAATGTATCAAATGTAAAAGTAATTACAAGTTCATGGGTGATTAAATAGATTCTTTTTACTAAATTACTTTGCTGCAACGGCGAACCCAGTGAAGGTTATAAATACGATTCGCGTTAAGCCGGTCAGACAAACTTTATGTCCATGTAATAAGAGCGAAAATGACATGCGTTTCGCGTTGGCGATCTCCCCTTAATAGATAAATTAACTTTTGTTCACCAGATCTGTGTGGTAACTGGATAGAAATTGCATACGGTACTAGATTCGGCTCCGTAAGGGTCATTGTGCAACATCCTGAAACCGTAGGTCACGGACCACAGCTCTTCCAAACATTCACTGTACATCAGAGTCCTATTACTAAGGTATGATATAATTATGATATTTGTTCAAACAATCATCGATCCATGATTGGCCACCTCGATGGCTCAACAGTTTGCGCTGTTGAGCTCCCGATTCCATTCCCGGTTGAACCAATTTAGGAAATGAACGTTGCTTTTTATTACCATTTAAAAACAAAACAGTTAACAAAATAGGAATTAGTCACATTTTAAACCACTAAGGTTTGTGTTAATGCAATCTAACTTAAATAACAATATCGGTACATTAATTGCTAATTCTGTACTTCGATTTTTTAGAATCGGAAAAACTGGAATCAAAGAAGCATTGTTCGTAAATCTTATTATTCAGACAAGAAAATACAGTAAAGGAAAATATCGTGAGAATTTATGACAAATGATATTTACAAACACGATTATATGTAATTATTTTATAAAGTTTACATTTATGTTTGGAACTTCAATTTTTTTTCAACTTTTTTATAGCGCAAGTCTTTGAAATGGATTAAGTTAGTAAAGACAGAAAAAAATTCTATATATAAGGGTACTGGTGAAATTACAGACACATGTGACGTCTCAAGGTGACAGGCGCAGTGGCAGTGCCCTTAAGGTCTTTGCGATTTAAAGCTGTGAGTGGCACTGCAGCTGTTATGGATAGGCGTGTCGCTTACCAACGGGCGCACGACTCGTTCGTCCCGTCACTTGGAATTATAAAAATTGATTGAATTGACGATTGCATTGTAATCAAATAATATTCAGTATTTAATTTATTCCACTTCGTTACTGTTGTTAAAATGTTATTAATAAGTAGTTAAGTGCTCTTAAATGCGTTATTTGACATCAAATAAAAATGGTTTATAATTTTTTTTAAATTTCTCATACTATATATAATAATTAAAGAATCAATGGTGCAACTGGTCTGGTAGGGTCTGTCTGTACAATATTTCAGTGGAAGTATTCTTCTTCAGTCAGTAGTCTGATCATCTGGTCCTCCTCGTCTTTTGTCCAAAAAAAGTCGGTCTAATCTTGAATTTCTGTTAGTGTATGTAATCTGAAAAATATAATCTCTCTAGCCAGTCATTCTGTTGGTCATCCGTAGAGGCTGGACGCGACAGTAACTTTATAACAAAAAACAAAAATTTCTTCAAATTTTCACATTTATCGTATCGATTATACTGGTTGATGATGAATAAGCTGGTGTTAATGATGATGACATTGATGAAGTTAATGATTCCACAGGTATCACTATCAGAGAACTACTTAATATCAGTATGCAGCGAGTACAACCACGTACGATCGTGGCGTGTGACGCGGTTCCGCGGGATGATCTCCACTCAGCCCGGTACAACGCCTAAAGCTGCTTTCAAAGTCCTCGCACTGGAAGCACCTACAGCTCAACCTCATAACGACTGCGGTTAGTATACAGAATGAATATGTGAAATTATCTTTATTGCACAAAGTTAAGTATCACAGAATAAGATAATGTACAACAGGCGGCCTTAAAATTCTACTTATTATCCCTTTGTAAGGTCAGGTGGGGTAAGAGGAACACCGGTGAAAGCGGGTCTTAATTGTTAAACTGATACTGTGAAGAGTTTAGCACATCATTTAAAAACAAATTAAACAGTTGTGAAATGTTAAGAACACATTATACGAAATACGATGTACATCATACCCCACGTTTTGGGGGAAAAGAAACGTTAGCACAATTCATCGTAAGTATTGAATTTAGAGTAATGATTGTCAAAACATGCAAAGCTGATAATGCCAAAGGCAAGTTTAGTGTACTTCAAAATTCTTGAAAGACTATCTGTTCTTCCTAGAGCTCAAAATATTTGACTCAAAATAAAGTATCTGATTTCTGCCCGCAAGGTTGTTTACGTTGAATCCGATGAGTCGTTTCTTTCTTTAATCTTTTCTTAGAACCAACTCGCATTACTGCCTCCTCCTCACTTATATTGATAATAATTTTTGCAACATAGACGCAGTATCTAAATCAATAATAAATTGCTTTAGATCAGACCATAGTAGCCAATTAGCTTCTTTTAATTGCAAGATGAGCAAGAAGGTAGACCAATTTCTCCGCAAACCGATTAGCACAGAACAAATGGCATGATTCGGCATGATTGAGTAATAAATAAACTGATGCCTGCTGATAAGGCGAAGGTTATGTGTCAGGATCGTAGCAAGAGGAAAGTTCTCAGCATACACCTATGGGAAAAGGGCATGAAGTATATAGAATTAGTTATAAGAACTTAAGGAAAAACTAAAATTTATAACTTATTACAAAATGATTTCTTATCCAGTTTCTTGATTGATATGAATAACTTTAAATCCCTTCATTTAAATCCTAACAGGTGTCACGATCATACTGTCAATAGCTTCTACTTGAGCTCTTGAAATACCTGTCGAAATAACTTTTGTTCTGCAGTTTACAACTTTCAAAACAAGTCGAAATATTAGAAAACACCCTGTATAAATCAGTTTATTTGAAAGTACTGTACATAATTTTTTTATTTTACGTTTTTGATGCTTTCGGTTAAGCTGATATGGATAGTGAATCGCCGTGTTTAAGTTATTGACAGGTTGGTTAGATTCATTTTGTTTTGTTTACGCTTCCACTTGATAGTAACATTAAAAAAAAATTAATATCTTCAATAATATATAACAATTTATTAGAACGTATTAATAAATAGACAAATATATGTGTACACATAATGTTTGGTCGGTGAAACAGTAGAACACAGCAAAACAGTACTTATTTTGTTACGGTCACATTGTATACAACCCTTTAAGTAATTAATAGATGCAGGCGTTACCTTGCGGAAGCCCATAAAAATATACCTTGTATAAATAAATGACTTTTTGACATTGCATTTTAATCAAAACTTATAGTTTAACTTATTTCTCTCAACATTACAGATTTCATACAAATACAATTATATGTCATTTTATACTACTCTTCGAAAAATGATTGTCAGTTTACAAAATAATGAAGATGGGGGGCCGGCTGGGGGGCCGTTTGGTGGCCGGTTGGGGGACCGGCTGGGGTGCCGGTTGGGAGGACGGCTGGGGGGCCGGTAGGGGAGCCGGTTGGGGGGCCGGTGGGGGATCAGTTGAGGGGCCGGTAGGGGAGCCGGTTGGTTCAGTTGGATATCGTTTTCGAGGTATTTGGGGATACTCAATACAAATATAGCATTTATTTCTAAATCCAAGATGGCGGACACGTCTTTTCAAATAAATGCAATATGAGCATCATTTTCGAGGTAATTGGGGGTACTCATTACAAATATAGCATTCATTTCTAAATCCAAGATGGCGGACACGACTTTTCAAATAAATGCAATATGAACATCATTTTCGAGGTCTTTGAGGGTGCTCATTACGAATATGGCACACATTTCTAAATCTAAGACGACGGACACGATTTTTCAAATAATGGCAAGTAGGGCATCGTTTTCGAGGTATTTGGGGGTGCTTATTACAAATATAGCATTTATTTCTTAGTCCAAGATGGCGGGCACGACTTTTCAAGTAAATGCAATATGGGTATCATTTTCGAGGTATTTCGGGGTGCTCATAACGAATATAGCACGCATTTCTAAATCCAAGATGGCGGACATGATTTTTCAAATAAGGGAAAGTAGGGTGTCGTTTTCGAGGTATTTGGGGGTGCTCATAACAAATATAGCATTTATTTCTTAGTCCAAGATGGCGAACACGACTTTTCAAGTAAATGCAATATGGGTATCACTTTCGAGGTATTTCGGGATGCTCATTACGAATATGGCACTCATTTCTAAATCCTAGAAGGCGAGCACGACTTTTTCAAACAATGACAAGCACCTAACCTAACCCACTACCTAACCCAACCCCTAATCCACCCCCTAACGCGCCCCTAAGCCACACCCGACGAGTCTTCAGTCCCCGCCTCAACTTTTTATTTACAATATATTATGGGCATTGACCTTTAGGTCAATGAATGTGGGTGTTCTTTTCCCTCAAGCTGTATAATAACATCGATGGTCTCCTGTTTTTCAGGACCGTACGGTGAACAAGACGAGGAGCAAATGTTTATACAAAAAGTTGTACCTGACACAGATACGCTTTATGTGCGGTTAGCGTCCAATGGGAAAAGGTAAGGAATGTTGATATATTCAAAGTTTCCAATAATATCGATTCATTTGTACTGCAGCTTTTTGTTTAAGCACTTCTACTGCACTAGATCAATTACGTAAGCAGCAGTCTAACCGCGTAATCTGTCTGTCCGTCCGGTGCTATCTATAACCTTTTTGGCGCAGTATTGCTGTTGAAATAATTTTGTATTAACTATCTGTTAAACTTAGTAGTAGAAGCAGTAGAGCTCAGTGTTAAAAAGTTTATCCAGGAAAGTACTCCCACCGTACTTTGAAGGGTAAGGGTGCTGGCGAAATTACAGGCACATGGGCCTTGTCAACTGTATGTCTCTGAGCACCGTGGCAGTGCCCCGCTTTGCAATTTAAAGCTCTAAGTGGCGCTGCAATTGCAATGGACAGGCGTGACGCTTACCACCAGGCGCACGTCTTGTTCGTCGCATCACTTGGTATCATGAAAACAAGGTTTATTTTATAAAAAAAACAATGGTTGAAAATCCCAACACCGAGCCAGACAAACAACATCAATGCCACTGGGTTGTCTGTTGTCTTACTAATCAAAATAATTGAAAAAAATGAGAATACAATGATTGTGAAAATGTAGTAGCGAACTTTCTACGATTTTTTGATGAATTTATTTTCGCACATGACCAGGAAATTGACTAAGTGTGCCTAAATTGTTTTCACAAAAAAAGAGTTCATGGTTAAGACAATTCCCTTTTATCTCCTATAGAGTCGGAATTCCCCATATTGTCGCAGTTAAAAAATAACACACTGTATAAAATTGTACGTTTCCTTTGTGGAACACAATAAGGACGACATTTTTATTGTGTTTAAACTAATTATTTGCATCGAAATTATAACAAAGTACTTTATTTTAATTAGTGCAAATTGCAAATGCTCCCTACTAGAGAGTAACATTCCTAATGGAAATTAGGAATGTTATTCAAGGGGTGGGGCCTGGTGACTTGTAATACAGGTGAAATATCTGCTAAAATGTTATTATTATTATTTATTATAAATGACCACGCCTTTTTATATGTATACAACTTCTGTGTTTCACAGAGTATGCACAATCCGTTCAGTAGACAGCTCCGCAGTATCATGTTTCACGGTCGCCGAGTGCGAAGGGGCGCTCCGTCCGAGGCGATTGTTGCTCTGTGGCCACCGCTCCGGCGCAGCACAAATGTGGGACCTTACAGCTGCTATTGATAAGGCTGCCAAGCCTGGCCCCACACCTGGTCCTACTAGTGGGCCTAGCACTAGTAATGGCAGTAGTCACAAAGAGGGTAAGCAAAAAAAGACAAATTTACTGATAAATACTTGATCGGTTCTTGGTTGTTTAACACATAAATTAAATTTTATTTACCTTTCATACTCCGAAAAACTTAAAAAAATGTATTGTGAAATGCCTCCTTGGGGCCTACCACAACCTCTTAAAACAATATTACTTTTACCTTACATTGGATTTTCGTACCATGACACGTATAAAGTAAGCTTATTATAATGTTAAAACTATGATGTTTTTGGTCACTCAGTTGGTACTATGTCGCGGCTCTAACATTAAAGTAATATTGTTCTTATGTCAAATTTAGCTATCTTAAAATAGTTACACGGATGCAATGGAAACAATATTATTTTCGAATTTATTGTCAAAATATTGATTTGTAATGATTATAAGTTAAGTTGAACTTATTTATTTACATATATCTCTTCAATATTTTGTTTATTTTAATTTTATAGTACATAGGAAATAACTTCTCGTTAAATAAAAATACGCGATGTTTATTTCATAAAATTATGACAGCAACATCTATACGCTCCTTAGCGACACTAACAGTTGACACTAGACTATAATTCCGAATTCATAACGTGACAATCAAGACTCGGCTTGTTTTATTTATTTTACTGTATGAATATGCGGAAAAATAATTGACAACAACGTAATTTAAATAGATTTCATTGTAACATACTTTGTTTTGACAGTCAAAATTCTCTGAATGTAAATAATATTAAGTACTTTAACATTATACTACGGTAGGACGATTCGGAACATCAAAAAAGAAAGAGATGGCATTATACAGTTCATATAGCGTTATTTCTTTCCTATTTTTGGTAAGGAATAGACAATATTGGGAAATCATTCGTTCTTTCAGTCACTTTAGCAATAATACATTACTTGGTTGATAGGTTTACCATGGTACAAATATGAGTAATATTACAATAAGCTTATTATAAGTTTACATTAAAATAAGATTGTTTTTTGAAAGGTTATATACCCTTGTCTGCAGTTTTTTTAAACGCATTCAATTTCCCCGATATACTGAAGCAACAATCAAGTACCAAGTGTTAAAGTCCTTAGTTTTCTAGACCTCTACTTTTGTTAACATATCAGTAGTATATTTAATAGTAGCTGTAGAACTTGTGAAAGAGTTCCTTGTGACAGAGAAGGTGCTACCACTTTACCTATTTCTGCCGCCAAGCAGTAATGTGAGAATTACTGCCTTCCGATTTTGAAGGATAAGAGTGCTGGTGGCACATGGGACTTGTCAACTTACGTCTCAGGGTAACGAGCGTAACGTAGTGGGAGTGCCCCTCAGATCTTTACGATTTAAAACCTTAGAATAATAACGCATAGAAACCTAGCCCGCACACGCTAAGTGAGGCAAATTGTAGGACGCCCTATGGGTTTACACGAGCGAGCGGGCTGTCAGTGCTCAAGGTCAAGTTCAACCGCGAGCAGCTCAAAAATTTTTGCTAAAAATGACGAAATGTGCGTTAATTGGGTTTAAAAATAGATCAGACAAATATAAAATAGACACTAACATCACATTCCACAAGGAAGTAACACATTTCGACTTGTATTTTTATCTAAATATTCACTAAAACAGAAAATTAATTTCGTTGCAACAAGATACGAAAATGTTGCAAAGTAACGGGTTTTTTCTCCCCATTTTACTATTCTGTTTCAAAATAATTATATTACGTAATTTTTTGAGAATAGGCAATATCGCGACTGTTGCAAAATTTCTACAAACGTACACCGCCGCAACAACATTGTAGGGAATTTACGTTAGCTATTTTTACGAAATATATTTAGTATTTGCCTTCATTAGTTTCATGTGAAAAATCATTATTCTTGTTCATCATACACTCATTTAAAAAAATTGTCTTGCCCAGACTCAAAAGTTCTTAACTAAAATTATGTCAGGAAACTAACACTGACTAAAAAGTCATCGTCAGTTCTCCAAAATCGTGTATAAATAACTTTCAGGTTCAGGTTCTTAATTGTTATCGTGTACTTTTCATATAAACATACCCACAGGTAATATCAGGCTATTTATATATTCAAATTCGATCGTCGCACTTAAACTCGCTTGTAGGTTTTTGTTCATATATGACTTAAATAAGAATTGGGTAGTATTTAATAAGGTGCCTACAGATTTGCTCGACATTGTCGATCGACAGTAACGATTGAGAATTATAGACGTTTTCGAGGAGTTTTAGAGTGCTTATTACGAATGTAGCATTAATTTTTAAATCCAAGATGGTTGACAACAATTTTCAAAAATATATTTTTGGTAAACCATAAGGAAATGGCATGTACATCTGAATACAAGATGGGGGACAAGACTTCTAATTCTTCTTCTTCTAATTCTTTGCCATCTTATATTTAGAAATATGTGCTCCTATTCGGAATGAGCAGCCCCTAATACCTTGAAAACGACACCCAACTTGCCATTATTCGAAAAATCGTGCCCGCCATCTTGGATTTAGAAATTAGTGCCATGTTCTTAATGAGCACCCCCAAATACTTCAAAAACGACACCCAACTTGCTATTATTTGAAAAGTCATGTCCGCCATCTTGGATTTAGAAATAAGTGTTATATTCCTAATGAGCACCCCCAAATACCTCGAAAACGATCCCCAACTTGCCATTATATGAAAAATCGTGCCCGCCATCTTGAATTTAGAAATGAGTGCCATATTCGTAATGAGCACCCCCAAATACCTCGAAATTGATACCCATATTGCATTTATTTCAAAAGTCGTGTCCGCCATCTTGGATTTAGAAATAAATGCCATATTCGTGATGAGCACCTCTAATACCTCGAAAACGATTCACATATTGCATTTATTCGAAAAGACGTGTCCGCCATCTTGGATTTAGAAATGAGAAAAGTCGTGTCCGCCTTCGTGTATTCAGATATAATTTGCCATTTCCATAAGGATTACCAAAAATAAATTTTTGAAAATTCCTGTCACTTGACGTTGTCGATCAACAGTAACGATCGACAAAATCGAGCATATCTGTAGGCACCTGATCGACAGTAACGATCGACAAAATCGAACAAATCTGTAGGCACCTCTAACTTAACGATGAGTTAAGCAAGATACAATTTCCCCACTTTTGAGGGAAGTATTATTCCATGGCATCATTATTTGTATATTTGTGTGCGTGCCGACGAGCGTTAATACAAGTTGCTTACGCCTACATGAATTTGATTTTTGCCTCACTTGTGACAGTTCGTTTTTTATGAAACTATCATTCTATGCGTTATTATTCTAAGTTTAAAACTATGAGTGACGCTGCAACTGTTGTAGACAGGCGTGTCGTTTTCCACCAGGCGTACAACTTGTTCATCCCATCACTTGGTATTGTAAAAGGGCGTAATCGTGGATTAGCGTAGCGAGAGGCACTTTTCAAAGATAAATAAGGATTATATTCAAGAATAAAGATTTACTGCATGTTATCAGATCAAAGCTTGTTCTAAAACAACCATATTTTTTTTACAATACTATTTTTTTATATAACTCTAAATACAAACCTACATTCATTCAGCCAGCACTAACACAAACCATAATGCCTAGTCTATAGTATCATAAAATTAAAAAATATCAGCCCCTATACAAGCAACGTAAACTCGTCAAGGATTCGCTCTGGGCCTTTTGGAGGGAAAAGTGTCGTTTTAATTTTGATTTTCAATTATTTTGTGAAATCTAGTTTAAAGTGGAATAGGATAATGCTATTGTGCCTTAATCGAATATTAAAACGCGAAATTATACGAATCTCGAACTAAAATACCCGTATCGGCCTGTTCTAAGGAATCCTGTGTCAATCCAAGCACGCCGCCTCAAATTGCCTATCCTCTTTGTGGCGGCCACATTTACAAAAACATAATTAAACGAAGACATGGCTCAAAGGACTTGTATCCAAGCCAAAATTATTAATAAACAAATAAACTCGTCAACTTTTGATAGAAAGTCAATTTTTTCGTATGTTTCGTACATTGTATTATATAATTTAAGACAATCGGAACATTACGTTTTTAGTGTTGAATTATTTACGATTATGACATAAAATAATCGCTTTATACAGGAGGTTAGGTAGAAGGCTGCAAAGGTTTCAACTTTGCTGCCTTCTGCCTAACCTCCTGTATAAAGCGAGAGCAAGGACTGTTAAATTTTGCCACCTCCATAGCTAAATGCTACCCTTTAATGCCCATACATTTAGTAGCAGTAGAGCTCCTTGTGAAAGAGTTCGTTCCGGGAAATACTGTCGCCTTACCTATTTATGCCGTCAAGTAGTAATATGAGCATTACAGCCATTGATGTCAATGATTACAGGGTTCCGATTTTGAAGGGTCCTAGTGAAATTATAGGCACATTCCCTTACGACAAAATGTCCCTTGCGACTATTGTCTCTTAGGGCATTTCAAATTTCCACTGTCGATGTAAAAGTAATAATTTCGTCGATGTATCAAATTTTGAAATGTCGTAAGCGACATTTTGCAGTAAGGAACATTTTCCATTACGACAAAGTATCCCTTACGACATTTCAAATTTCTACCGTGGATATGTATGTGGCACTGGGACTGTTATAGGTAAGCGTGTCGCGTACTACCAGGCCACGGCTTATGAATAAGCCACCTTAATAGTAATAACATGTATATAAAAATTTCCTTCAGGTGAATTCGAAGACTCTCCAGTACAGGACGGTGGACCAACTCCCGATGAACTAGTCAGACTGCTATCCGCATGTGACCTCGACGCGACCCCCGCGCCTGTTGTCGTCCCTCTATCACCGAATAGACCCATGCAGGCCCCATGATCAGCGACGTGTAGTGCACTTATGTGGCTTTACTCCGTTGTTTTTAATTCATAAAGGACATATTTTATCGTTACGATTGCATATGCAACGTTCTGACAGGGGGATACGTAAAAAGAGCAACATATAAAGGAGAAATCACACTTATCGAAGCGTAATCAGCTTAAGCCGGTCAGAAAAAGCTTTATGTCTATGCAATAACAGCGAAAAGGACGTTGTGGGGTTTTTTGAGTGAATTTAAAGCTTTTTCTGATTTTTCTGACCGAGCTAAATCGATTGACACACTATACTGCGTTTATTTAATTTCCATCGTAAATGTAGTTCATCGAGTATATAACCAGAAATAGAGACGAAATGTCATTTAATTTGTTTGAAAACTATTCTGCCATATCATTACTGTGACAACTGCGCTCCGATTGGCTGCCCGAGTTCGAAACAATTGACGGGTGTCGTCAACTGTTTCACTTCAAAACGACCAGATAACTTGAGCTTTGCTATAATGGACTAAAATTGCAAAATTACATATTTAATTACCGATGAAATGTGATTCCGTTTGTTTTGTAATTAAATGTTTTGTTGTTTTTCCCACACCACCGAATAGAACAGCACGGCATTGTTATGTTTTGTGAGATATTGTCTTTATTACAATTAATACAGAATATTTTTTGGAATATACGGAGACGTACACCTGTGTGTACGTCAGTTGTTGGCCTGTCTATATTTCAGTGCAAACGAGAGTTCTTATTTATAAGAGCTGTATCGCTAATGTGTTACCAGGAATATATGGCCCTTATTTCGTCTCTATTTCTGGTTATATACTCGATGGTATAGTTAAAAATAGCCAAAAGACAGAGAAAAGAAAATTTTTCATTCAATTTTTCAGCCATTATTATCCTACTGCAGAGCAAAGATCTCCCTTCCCACTTTTTCCACTCTTCGCGAATTAACGCCGCTACAGGCCAAGACCTCATATATTGTCCAATTCGTCACGCCATCTCGTTCTGTCTTTCGCGGCTTCGTCTTGAGTTTGGAGGGATCCACTCCATGATGGTCTTTGCCCACAGCTTATTTCACATGCAGTTCCATTTTAAACTCGCGGCTTTATGATCAACGTCAACGAGTTGTGTTTTGGAGCACAGTATGCTGTTGCGCACGCGGTCTGACAAGAGAAAAGAAAAACATAATAATAATGTGCCAGATAACCACAGTTATCTGGTCTCAAACTAGGGAAATTTACCCTATACTTTGAGCATCAGAGCAATTGAATTCATTTCGAGCACCATTCTGAAAACTCAGACCAGAACCAGTTTAGAAAAGTTCATTTCCAAATTGGTCGTACCAGGAATCCAACTGGGGCTCTCCTCGTCCAGCGCACGCAGTGTAAACCGTTTGCTCACCGAGGTCGTCATTTTCCGCGTCAATAAGTGTGTGACTCCTTTAGTTGGTATTCTTCTTGAAATTTCTTATTAAACAGAAAACAAGGAATTATGAAGGCAGTTTTACACAGTACCAATGTGCACGACGTACTAAGAATATTGTGCATAATTGTTGGTTTTCAAACTTTAATGACAAATAAAATGGATGCATTAAAATTCGTATCAAATGTAGGCTGTAACAAAAACGTGCAATAATAACTTGCATGATATGCGGTAGTGTTCAAGACACTGAACAACTTTATCAGAAATTAAATATTCATTAAATAAAATTGTTACAAAAGTCGAAAACTTTCAATTCTTTAGTTTGATACACACTAATTTCATGTACCAAAATATGCCTACACATTATTTATAATGTTTTGCATATCACGAAAAACGATATTATTCTTGATGCCTCTATGCTATTTCGTCCATTTAAGTCCGAAAACAATAATGCACTTCAAACTCATCCATTGAGCATATTATTCGCCAAGTAGCACCGTAAAAACACGCTGCGCTCTACGCAACGAGGGCGGGACGTCACAATCGTGAGACTATTATGGCATGTTCACACAAAGTCGACTACCGCCTTCGACAAACGAGGCGTAATCGACTCATTGTTTATACCGGTCGACTGCCATGCCGCCTCTTCAGCAAGCGAATTCGGCTGACGAAGGCAGTGCAGTTAACGCGCTGTTTACACAGAGTCGAATGCCGTTTTAGCCGTAATCATCAAATGATACATACAAGTTTACGCCCAGACCTAATAAATCGTTCGAAACGTTAAAAAGACTGGTCGGGTAGTTAGGTATTTCCTGGCCCTCAGCATGCGCATCGTGGTGAGACGCGGCCGCTGACACGTTGTAACCTGTTTGATTGACCGTCGCATGCCGAATGATTACACTTAGTCGACTCGATCGACTTCATCAAAAGACTCAATGTTTACACTGGGTGGGCCCTCGGCAGGCAAGCGAAGGTGTCCTGTCGACTTAGTGTAAACGCGCCATTATGTAACTGAGCTTTAACGACGGTTTGTCTGAACCTGACATTTTGGGTGCCGAACATTTGACCAAACCATGTTAACGTGATAACATGTCAACTACATCTGAATCGTATGTAGAAGTGAGCAAAAAGTTTTAACATATTTAGGGTTATAAGTATTAATACAAAGATCGAACACTCAGAAAAATTCCTTCGATCCGGCCGGATTCGAACCGACGTCTTCTAGCATGCCGTGGCAGACGCTCTACCAACTAAGCCACGGAACGAACCAGCGGACCTCACGAATTCCTCTATGTGCTTGCGTCGTGTCTTTGTATTTGGTTTTAGAAACTAGTGGAGTAATTTCACAAAAAATAATTGAATATCAATTCAATAAAACTTTAAAATACAGTGAACAGCGATATCTCTCGCCAGGGCCGGTAGCTGTAAAGGTATCTAACTGGGTGATAAAACTTTCATAGATTTCTAATAGATGGCGCTACGACTAAAAAGTCGTTGAAAAACCAACTACAAAGACACGACGACAAGCACATAGAAAAATTCGTGAGGTCCGCTGGTTCGTTCCGTGGCTTAGTTAGGAAGAATTCGGTTCGAATCCGGCGCGATCAAAGGATTTTTTTCTGAGTGTTCGATCTTTGTATTACTACCATTGACCTACCAATAAATGGACGTCGGGTTCGCGCTAAAAAGTGTCCGCACCTATAGGGCGTTAAAATCGCATACAGAGCGTCAATCGCGCAACAGTCTTTGTTTGTTCGACTGACAGCGCGGTTGTCAATCATGCAGTACCATAATAATAATAACTTGTAAAAATTATACAGCAGTAAAGTGTAAAACAGGATTTTCTATCATATTTTCACTAAACAAATATATTGTGTTATCATAGTTCTCATTTAAAAGTGTTATTTTGTACAGTTTTATAGTATTTAATTTATTAAACTTATACATAAATGGATCGTAAATATAAATTACACAATCACACAAAATAGTCAAATAGCTAATTGTCCTTTTTCTACATTGCATGCGTAAAAGATGGAAAGCGACCCATTACGTCAATTTCAAGAAGCTTATATAAACTTCTTGGTTATTTTCAATTGTTCGAATCACAAGCGATTGAAATATTTAGAACGAAGAAACTATAGACTCGCTTTGATTTTCGTCTTATTGTTAAAATGTTTTTTTATGAAACGTTAGCAATAACTAACAAAACATTGTTGTAGTCGTTTTACGGCTTGGGATTACCTATCAGAAGTCAAAAATACATTTGCCCGAAATAACGTTAGCTCGAATTTTCATAATGTCAAATGTATTTTTTAGGAAGATTACAAAACAAAAGCATCAAAATTATTCGAAAGCGTAACGGTTTTATTGTAAATCGGTCTTCGAATTACGGATATTTAAGTTTACGTTTAGTTGGAATATCGGTACATTTCTTATAGTACACGCTTATTTTCACATTTGTAGTAATATTTATATGTATCTGCCCAACTCTATTAATTTTTTAAGTGAATTCGACATAATAATATATATAAAAATTAATTAATATTTACGATATAGGCTACCCCATTACTCTTGTGTTCAAGTAATTTTCAGTCGAAACTAAATATGGTGCATTTTGTTAAATTTCCAGTAGAAGCTGAATATGGTGTTTTTTTGGGGCCCTTAAATTGTCTGCAATGACGTTACAATTTAAATTAAATGTTTTAGTTTTTTGTATTTCGTTACATGTCACTACGTTTGTATAGGTTAACTTCGGACATTTTTTTCGTGGTTTTTGTATTAGACCCGACGTCCATTTGTTGGTAGGTCAATGATTAATACTTATAACGAACTAGTGGAGTAATTTTACAAAAAATAATTGAATATAAATTCAACAAAAATTTAAAATATTTAGGGTTACCAGGTCTAAAAACCGACATTTGGGTTAAAAGAGTGGACACGGATTATAAAGAATTATATCTCGTAGTTTTATTACGACAATTTGTTCTTAATGTAAAACCAGGGTTTTTTGGTCATTTATCAAAAATCTTAAATACTTACGAAATAACAATAAAATTGAATAAATCAGTCTTCTTTATAATAAATTTTACTGTCAATATCATACCCCGCTTGCACGTGACTAATTTAACCGGACACGCTTCGAAAAACCCTTGTCCGGATTCATACGGACGCCTGGATGAACATTTGCATGAACATTTTTATTAATCTTACGAAGCTAGGGATAAATATTTAGTTCAAATTAATTGAATTTAATCTCATTATATTATAAAAATGATTTCCTATGAATCGTCCTAAATATTCTATTTATTAAAAAACACTATAGTGCCTCCAAAGAGCGCTCCTATTGGTAGATTATAACTTAGTTCTATTTTCAAATCGTGAACTTCGTCACAATATACCTGCTCATTGGCAAATACTATATTATGAAAATATCCGCCTAAAACGAAATAAGTTTATCGTCGAAAAAGACTGACCCCCATCAGCTCAACCAATGAAATAAATTCTCATACCTTATGGAACTTATTACTTATTTATTGTCAACCAGTTCATATTCAACAATTATTTTATATGGGCGTAATTTAACTGAATTGAACAAGGTGTAGTGGTAGTTTACTATCATATTTTATTAATTGAAATCTATACTGG